AGAATCAGGTTAATAAATATATCGGAAGAGGTAATCCGAGTGGAAATTTACAATGTCGAACGAAATTTTGTGGAAATTTAAATTCTACGAAAACGTGACGTTTGTCGATTAAATATTTGTACATATATCGGAGTAACGTTTAATACGTTTAAGCCGGTAGAGATTTTTATGCGAATGTTGACAGAATGGCAAATAAATGTTTCAGTATTATGTATTACGAAATATTATTTATGCTACATCAAGTTAAAGCTTAAGTTCAATCTATAAACAATTGTTCTACTGCAAATAAATCGGATAGAAACAAACACACAGAATTGGTTTCCATACGTAGCTCTTTCTTCATGAAAGTTATACGTAATGGCTCGTAAAGGGATTACTTTAGCACGAAACTGCGCCAACTTTGAAAATTCTGCCATTAACTTGTCCGGATACGACGTCTTCGTAAACTCGAATCACTTTTACCTCGTTTCACTCGATTGAATGTAACGTTATAATAATACTATGGAAAATAATTCTGTTACCTCGTAAATTGGTCGTTTCTCTTCGAATAATTTTGTTTTTACGTTTATAAAGGGAATGGAAAGAGAAATTGCAACACGGTGAAATAATTACAATCAAAGTTGTATCGTAATTGGAAATTTCGTGAAATTTCGGGCAAGTGAAAAGCAGACAATTGCGATCGCGTCGATTAATAGGTCGAAATTAATACTCGACCAACTGGGTTAACCGAGTGTGCCAGTTAACCTGACGATTGGTCAACCGCTCGACGCAACTTTATTACGACCCCTGTCTCGCGAATTCTATGAATGGAATATCAATCGGGGGGAAAACGAACCAGGGATTATCCTGACTTACTTTATCCTGCTGCTTTGCCCACCGTCGAATACATCTTTCACCTTGTTACGCAATTGATTACTTCTTCCAACCAACATAAATTCCCATTAGAAAAAACGTCCCTTTTTATCGTGCAATGTATTACATCGGGACCAACATGAATAGATATTTGAGTATTATATTTTGATAAACTGTATAGGCCGACAGAGAAACGATATGCTAATTAAACCGGCAGTTAAAATTAATTGCTTTTGCATTTTAATGATGTACTAAAAATTCCAGAAGATTCATATTTTGTGTATAAAAAAATTTACATTTTTATAATGGGATCATTCAAAATTTTCCTTCGTTCCATCGCTTCTGGAAGAAACTTTGCCAAATTTTCAACGCAATATTTATAACAATTTCTATATTGGCCAACATAGACGAACCGTGCCAATCAGAGCGTGCAGATACATTCAATTGAAGCAATCAAATTGCAGGTGAACGTACTAGCCCGAAGCGGTCGATAGGTTAATAATTCAATTAATCAAGCTGTAGAAATTGACTTTCGAAAGGAAGCAACCGTTTTAGTGTATCCTGAATCGTTCGAACATTTTGAAATATCTACAGGGTAAGGAAAAATCTGTCGATTTGGATGGACTTTGAAAAAAATTCCTCTGCAATCAGTTTCCCCGTGAGTCGTCGGGATTCGTCCTGAATCGTCGAGAGGATTAGATAGAGTAACGTTGTCGAAAGCAGGTCGGAGACATCGGATAAAGGTGTTTCGGTGCTCGTGTCCTCGGAACGAGTGACCGGTTTGGAAATAATGCGAGCACAGGAGTGTACAGGTCGGTTCGGTTGGTAGGCGAATTAACGCTGAGGAAATCGGATTACGTCGTGGCCCACGGCACCGCCTGTCTACTAACTCTTGCATTAGCCTGCGTTCGAGCAAATTGCGTTTATCCTGGACCGAGGCAGGACGATCGGCTTGCCTCGAGTACTCAGCCATGGTAAATTGCTAATTCGCGACTCCCAGAAACAACGTGCTCGTAGAAATACGCGAGACTTCGCTTCGCACAACTCTCTCGCCCGTGTTGTTCTTGTTCCGATGATAAAACTCGTCGACACTGATCCGAAGTGATTAAAACTCAACTATACAGGCTGTTTTATGCAATTAGAACAAGTCGTAACCTTTTTCCTGATTGCAATTCAAAAGAAATGTTGAAAGAACTGGGTGTTGGCAGAATCGTAGAACTCGTACTATGATAGGTGACAGCGATCTTCTATAAGAATGGAATTCTATGACAATGGGTTATTCAAGTTTATGAATCATTGAATGTTCAGGGTACGATATATGACTGAACGAAGCTCGAACACGTTTCAATTCTCTGTCTACCTATAAAATTTCATCGTCACTGGTCTGTAGCACTTTATACGGTTCCCTTGATAGTAATTAAGGGCTGCCTGCGTTCACTAATATTCAAAATTTTCACTGGCTGTCTCCTAGGAATTCTTCATTAGTGGCCCTTGGTTCGCGTCAACTTTCATTTTATTACCACAGACTTCAAATTTTAATTTTTTTTTTTTTTCTTTTAATTCAATATTCAATATATTAAATTTTTAAAATTGAATAATTGCAAGTGGAAATTCTTCTCGTAACGAAATCGTATTTATTATGTATGAATCAAAACAAGTAGAGACATCTCTTTGACGAGGATCAAAGATTCTTCGACGCATCTCGGACAATTCAACGGGAATATCAAATGGGATTTTTAGGAGCGCGAGTATTTTTCACCTGAAAATTTCGGTGGAGATTTATCACTGTCCACAATGAACAATTTCAACTCGCAGCTGCGTTTTTTCCGCGATAGGATTGCCGTTTTTTGGTAAATCTAGAACAGTACAAGGTAGGTCAACGATAGCTGTATTTATCGAACGAATTTGCAAAAATTGAACGACTCGTCGAATACGAATATTCGATGCTAGTTCGGTCTCGCCAAACAACGATGTTTTCGAAACAACCTTTTATTTGTGTGAATAATGAGAAAGTGGAACGAGCAACAATTTCGTGGTTCATATTTATGAACAAATAAATAGATAATGCACGTCCAATAGTTAATCAACCCTCTATAACGTTAATTAATATTTCAACTTTCCAAAATGAAAAATCGTGTCCCCTTATGAAGTATCGAAGGAATTTCATAAAAATGTTCATTAGGATCGTATCAAATATTTCATATTCAATTTCACTATTCCATTAATTTCCTAGAAACGTTACACGTGGCTACGTTCGCTGAATAATTGCATTTTTTGAATTCATACAGCGGTAATAAAAAACGGAGCTTTTTAACTCGCAGAATTTCGCGCTCACTCTCCTATGTACGTATGCTTTAAAAATCTCCGTACAATTGTTACGAGCTGCTTTAAAAAAATTTTCATTTTCTATTTTACAAACAATTCCTTCTTCCTCGTTTGATGTGTAATTTCGCTCCGTTCCCTTTAACGAGAAACGTTACATGTACATGATACTACAGATAGAAAACGGAATCAGCATTTAGTTGCATTTCGTTTGGTAAATCAATGGCACATAAAAAGCAAGCGTTTTAGGAAAATCGCGCTTCCAGCTTAATGCTATGGAAATCGCGAGACGCAGTTTATGGAAAGAAGGGAAAAACAATCGCAAAAATTATTTCCATTCGAACGCGTCTCGTTCGCTGCGAATTCAACGAGTTTTTCTTCAGGACCGAAGCATTTAATATTCGTGCTTTTAAAATTCTACCCAGCTTGAAATTCGTCCAAATTTTCCCTAAAATAGTAAGGTATTTTTCCAATTTTAAGTATTATATACTCAGAAAATGACAAAGCTACGGTAGGTTGACCAATAGAAACGAAAAGGTTAAAATCAATATCCTACCTACGGTTTCTTCCATTTCCTATGAATCCTTGTAAAATCGTCTAGCCGAGCCAGGGTGTTCATTCGTGCCGGACAATTGACCGGAAGGCAAACGTTTCCAAACAGTCGCGTCCAGTCGACCCGGTTATTCGCGATTCAGCCCGTGTATCCGGTCGCCGAATTATAGCTGAAGAGGGCGAATATGGTAGCGCGGAATACCGCGGAGGAAATAATTTTCGACGAACACGCGCCGGTTGAACAAAGATGAAAAGCTAGCCACGAATATGACTGACATCGGGGCTATATCCTGGACGATCTGGATGAACGAGAAGTGGCGAGAAAAAAAGTAGAGAAAATATGCGGAGAGATGAAGAGGTGGAAAAGAGAAAGAGAAGCTATGGATCGACGAAAGAATAGCGGAGAGAAAGAGATACGAGGATAGGAGAAAGATAGAAGAAGGTGCTTTAGAGAGGCGGAGTCCAATTTTTAATGAAAGCGTGGAAAGAACCATAAGTGCATATAGTGGCCGCATTTGTCCGCTCCTGAAGGGCTCTCCATGCAGAAGAGTCTTGCAGGACTATCATGGTCGGTGAGCTCCGATCCGGTTTATACCATCGCTATACCAGCCGGGGCAAAAAAGATTCCAATAATTGCTGGTCGAAAAATATCGACAGTAAACTCTCTCGACCCTTTAATTGCACACCGAAGCACAAGGCATATTGGTTTTCCATTCGTGTTCTCTCTTTCCCACTCGTTCACTTATCATTCGCCCTCTCTTTCTATCGCGTTCGTTTCATGCTCTTTCACCCCCTTTTTCGGACGATCCTTGCTCGCGGTATCGCCTAGTTTTTACTGCGATTAGTATGCTACCATGATTTCTATTTCTTTTTTTCTTGATTTTGCTCCATAATAAGGCGACCATTTCTTTCTTCCGTAAAGTTTATTCGCAGAGTCCACGCTTCAGTTTTTGTAAACTAAATTGCAATAATAGTCAGAATTTAGCAATTTGACAAATTGGTTTAATAATCCTGGCGGAAAGAAATTGATTTCAAATATTGAATAATTTTATAATGATCCTGAAACAGAGAATTAATATCCAATTACAATAGCAATTTGGGTTTTTTCTCTGACGCATATTGAAAAGCAGTATTTTTCAGTAATAAACTAAATGTCCGTTTTCCATGGCAATTTGGTTCGCGATAATTAATTGAATGGATACCTGGTGTATAATTCTTTTATAAAATGTGGGATAGTTATCAACTAGTTGGAGTGTCGTCAATTAACACTATGCTTCAAAGTTAATTATAATTTTATTTTATTCATTTTTCAATTAGTATACACTATATTAGCGTTTAAACAATAAATGCAGCTTAAATATTAATAATACGGATTGAATATGATCAGCCGAAACGTTTGTCCCAGAGTTCCTTGAAAGTGGTCCTAGAAAAGCCGAAAAATTGAATATGTTAATTTAAATTCCCTTTCTTGTCTTCATTCTTCTCTCTTATTTTCGTCTTTTTGGGGTTTAAAAATGTAAGTTACGTACTTGCGACAAATACAGATTCCATTTTCGCAACGACCTCCAGCTTTACCCATGCTGAGACAATTCGCAGCGCAAGCAGAATGTTCCGCGATTCCTTTGAACGAGAGAAGATCACAGGTTACTCTTCTTTGCCTGTCAGCGCGCTCTGTTTCGCTTCGAATCGTGTCGAGAGGCATCTCGTCTTTAGGTTCATCTTAAAAAGAAAACCATTAAAGTTGTAGCTTTCAACCTTTCAGATGCAACTTAACGAATATTCAAACGTTGCGTTGTACAAAACAGAAAAAAGCACTTCGGTCTGTTACAATTATCTATTATTTGTACTTAATAAAGTAATTACTAACCTTGGATTATTGAAGTAGGAGCAGCCATAAGGGCGACCACGCTCACAAGCAGAAATGTAAGAAAAATATTGAATTTCATTTTGTCTTTAACAAATGGAATAATTGTCGCTCAACTGAGATTGTTACACTGAACTTTTGACTCTCTTACAATCTTTATATACAAATGAAGTTGCCTTTGATGAATAAAGAAAGTAAATATACGAGTACAAAGAGGGGATTGGTACATCCCGGAGCTATAATCTTAGGGAATCCCCTGAACGATATCGAAATACAAGGAAATCATTTCTCTGTAGTGGAGAAAGAATACAAGGTGTTTCAAGAAAGCTGTATACCGCTTTCAAAAATATAAAACATATTTTCCGTACAAATTAAACTTTATTTTGAACTCAGAGGTGTACAAGAGGTAGTATAGTTGTATTGTAACTAGACAATGAAGAATTTACTATGCATAATGACGGATGATTGCTTCTTGATGATGGTTGATCTACTTTCTGCTCCCTCTTTACACAGAAAGATTAATTCCCGGTGGGTGTAGAAGCGAAGGGTTGAATCTAGCCGAAACGTTTGTCCCAGACTTCCTTGAAGGTAGTTCTGAAACAATTAGAAACAAAAATTTAAAAAGTTTTTCTTTGCGAATCAAAATGACTGAACGGTAAAGGATTAACGCAATCAAATTGAAGGAGTTTGAGGATTACATACTTGCGGCAGGTACAGACTCCATCGTGACAACGACCTCCAGCTTTGCCCATGCTAAGACAGTTTGCAGCACATGCACTGTCTCCGACAACTCCTTTGTAGGTGAGCAGGTCACAGGTCACTCTCCTGTGTCTGTCACCACGTCCTTCGGGAAGGACGAGAGGTTCGTACTCGTTGTCTGAAATTACACCGTAATTCACAGACTTAGATATTTTCATATCTATAATAATATTCAAATCGATGGGGAAAATGATAAATTTCACTTACCAACTGGCTGAGCCATGATGGCGGCTATAGCCACGAGCAGAAGAGCAGCAAGGAAGTAGATCTTGACCATTTTGGTTGAAGTTTTCGGTGAAACTTGTCGCTAGACACTTTAGAATAGACTGTGAAACAACTGATGATAGATCGATAGTTCGGACGGTTTATATACAAGTCTTACTACCAATTCCGTATACGATAACGTCCGGGTAAGTCCCTCAAGCAAATGTGTACACAGTTGCTAGCATAGACAATGATCTATCGTAGTGAAATCAAGCGAGACGATACTGGATTTCTATTTTGATTGTTGGGATTACACCTAGGATATTTTGTACCAAGAAAATTGTTTCCAATAATTGCATGAATGATTTATGAACCCGCACAGGAATCGATCATTCATTTCATTATTCATCTCTTTAGTTTATTAATTATGTATCGTGATAGTTCCAATTTGAAAATTAGCCATTTTTGTCACTGATCCCTGTTCTAATTATATAGGTAAATTATAAATTATAAGATTCATTGATTCCAGGAAATATGCAATCGGCAAAGATCTTGCTAAATATTTTAAAATATGTAATAGGATAAATTGTTAATAATCTTGACATCTGGTACAAACTTTGGTGCAAACATAGTAGACAATTGAATATACGTTCGCTACGTGCTTTCCCGCAATATTCAATTCCGGTTTTTCCGGGTCGCATTTCGTGAACGCTGTTATCTATGCAGTGATAATATTTTGCAACGTCCATCTACGCTTACGAGTATGTAATATTTAGGTAATATTCCTTGAGAAATTCTTAATTGAGTCATGAGCATCGCTTTTGTTATCTTTAATAAAATAAAGAACAAGTACGATTTCGAAATAAGTGATCAGCTGCAAGTAAACAGGATTTATCAATAAATTAATGTGAATAACAGAAATAGATAAAAGTGATCCAACACATTTGATCGGAAAACAAATGACATGATTGATCGGAAACAGGTGTCATTATTTTATCAGCTGGTAATTATTAAAAATTTATGACAATAACTTGGCAGTGAAATATGCAATAACTTTTAAAGCATCCTTTATTTCACACCTAAAACGCACATGTATTTCTGGTTTTTCTCATTTGATTCAGACAAGAATGATACAATGCAACTCGTGTGTCTGCGTCACCTAAATCTCTCGTAAGCTGAACACGAATACTTGTGGGATTCACCGTGAGCAATGTCAAGAATTTTTCCTCGAAGATAACCGACAGGGTTATCGACATTTCGCTCCAGAACAAGGTAAATCTATTATACACACTTCCATTTCAAGAGCGCATGTTGATCGATCTAAATAATTTGTCTGACTAATCAATTTGTGGTAATTAAGTTTTGTTATCAGTTGGTCTGTTAATTCATAACTATCCTACTATTTCCATTTGCTAATTAAATTCACTGGGTGAATAAGTAATTTTCAAACGTAACGTGTAACCAAAATAATAATGTGCTTTATTCGTTAAAGGTATTACAATTACATTGTGTACGTGTCTATAATATTTGGTAAATATTACAATAGAAAATAGAATGATTTTATAAGCTGGCAGTTTTGCCAAAGACGTTGATCCTCACGCCGGCTTTACGAAGACCGTCGGTTAATTTTCTGCCGAGGTCGGCATCCGCTTGAGTAAAGTTCTTCACGGCTCTCTCGACGATGAACGTGGACGCGTTGCGAAGACTTCCTACTAAGTTGTCCGCCAGTCTCTTCTTCTCGTCCGCGTTCAGAACATCTCTATAAAACATGCCAGCTTGTCCGAAATCGTCCTCGTTCTGTGGTTCGTAACGGTCCACGTCCCCGCTGACGTTGAACTTTGGTGGACGAACAGCAGGGCACTCTTTGGGTCCATTGAAACTGTTAGGGAAGTAGTTCGGTGCACCGTTTTGATTGTGCACAGCCATTAAACCATCTCGTTGGTAGTTCATGGCGGAAATTGCCTAAAAAATGGTATGCGATTCAGTACATATTACATAATAATAACCATCAGAGTATTAACAGTAAAAATGAAAGAAAAGAGAAAAAGTATTGATTCGTTGACAGCCAGGAAAAAGGGTATTCTCATCTTTATATAAATATTAATAACAATGTTTAAATATTCATGCCTCGGGTGCAGCAAAAGCAAATCCTTCGATTTGTAACGATAATTTAAATTATCGTTGTCGTATGGTACGCGAAATTTATATTATCAGTAATTAATTTTGAATTACGAACCAGCGTTACGTATTTCAACGCGTTTATTGTAATCGGGGATGCATACCCTATAAAATATCGTTATCGTTTCTTCATCGGTGAACGTAACCGGTGTGAAATAGAAACGGATGTTAAAAGTCATTTTTTTCTCTCTTTGTCGATACTTTTTTTTCTCTCTGAGGATAAGGGAGGCAATAATATGTAAATAAATTACTTTGAATGGACAATTGACTGGTAATTGAAGATGATTGGGTCCAAGACGATGCCTGTGAGTGTCGCCGTAAGCGAATAGCCGACCCTGTAGCATTTTGTCAGGGCTTGGTTCAATACCAGGTATCATGTGAGCCGGATCGAAGGCTATTTGCTCCACGTCAGCGAAGTAATTTTCAGGATTTCGGTCCAACACCAGCTTACCAACAGGAATCAGCGGGAATTCCTTGTGCGGCCAGACCTGTTCCATTCAAAACGAAAATACCTTCATCAATCGTGGAATTATCTGACATATTTTTTGTTACAAATTTTTATATTCAATGATCGAATATCTTTTCATATTTTTCTTTGAAATTTTTATCCTTGCTTATGCATATCTGCATAAGATGTCAACGTAATTAATTCAATTAGTAGCTTCATTTTAATAAATGTCATTACCTTGGTCACGTCGAAAGGATTCCATTTGAAATTCTTTGCTTGACTCGGAGTCATCACTTGAATGGAGAACGACCAAGTTGGGTATCGATGACTAGCGATCGCGTTGTAAAGATCTCTGATCGAGTAATCAGGATCTGATGCGCTTAATTCTGCTGCCTTGTCGACGGGAATGTTCTTGATTCCTTGGTCAGTCTGTGAAAGATATCAATGTTTCAATTGACTCTAAAAAGTGTTTTTATAATTTAATCTACACCCAATTCCCTTTGAAATTATTACAATGATACAGATCAGACCTGTTTACTCTAAACTCAATTATTTTAGTGAATGTTTGATATACCGTTAACATTTTCTTCGAATCAACGAGCACGTTTAAACATTTCATCCATTCGACCCAATTCGCGTATATAATTCTCTGTTAGTACAGTTCCTCGTATTTTATACCATTCCTATACATATTTGTATTGAACATTCATATCCATTTTTTGAAAGATACCTTTTATAACAGAATTTTTATTTTTAAAACAGAAAAAAGCATTAAAAATACGTGAAAATTCGTATTAAATGATACAAGTTAACGATAAGCATTTGTCCGAAAATCAATTTATAGTTTTATACCAAAAATATCATATTTACTGTATAATTTCATCTTTAATCAATTTACCCCCTAGTGATCTGTACGGATACGGTCAGTTACTAGTATGTAGTGTGAAAATCGCACCTTGTAGTGGAATTTACAGTAAACCACCTCGTTGTTGGCATTCACAAGCTTGAACGTGTGTGAACCGTAACCGTTCATGTGGCGATGACCGTCGGGGATACCGCGATCTGAGAACAGGAACAACACCTGGTGTGTCGACTCCGGTCTTAGACTAAGGAAGTCCCAGAACATGTCGGCATCCTGCGCAAGACAATTCAATTAACACGCCGTTTAGAATGGCGGGCGATAATTAGGGAACAGATACACAGCAAAGTGTAGGTGTACGGAACAATAATAGAATTGCACTGCTAACGACCGAGTAAACGCCTAATTACACGCTTCTCGATACGAAAAAGATTTCTGGGCACGAATTGCATTTGAAATAAAGGAACGGATTTTTAATATATAATATATAAAATTCTAAAGGTCTTATCATCCTTTAAATTAAATTAAGCATTTTAACTTAAAACCAATAGTATCACCAGCAAAAGGTATCAAAGGTGTGATTAATAAAAATAGCGGGGCACTTGAGTATTTCAAATTATTTTCGTCGACATAAAACAAAGAATGTCGAACCTTCAAATGTGTAACAGGATTTCTCTTCTGCGTGTGGATGAAGCTAGGGAAGAAGATGGGATCCTTGACGAAAAAGATGGGGGTGTTGTTGCCAACCAAGTCCCAGATACCGTCTTCGGTGTAGAATTTGACGGCGAAACCGCGGGGATCCCTGCAATGAAAACGAAACAAAGAATTATCGAGGGACGAACGGATCGGTACAGGTGTTATTTGAAATGTGTGTTTCACGGTGATAAATGCTTTGTCCCGAGTCTCGTATTCCAATATCGTCGGGGCCAGTGAAACAACAAATTGTATCGCCCCGTTGAAATGCAACTAGAGATACAAAAAAAAATGTGCAATCGTCGTGACTCATTGGAACTTGTTGTGACAACAATTTCAAAAAAGGAACTTTTCCAACCAGAACCAGCGGACGATTAATTACAAGGACGGCATGCTCGTTCGCATTTCCGCTCGCTTTTTCACGCATTTCCGTACGACCAAGTCCGCTAATTCGCACGCAAGAAAAACGAGGACTTTTAAGCACCGTTTCCCGACACTTTTGCTACTCGTAATTATCCTTAAGTACTCGTTACTCGAATCTTTGTTTCCCAAGCATCGTTTTATTGTTTCGTATAGTTCGAAGAAACCGATTTTCCGTGAGAACTAATTTCACGATAATTCTTGATCATAAATTTTTATATTCCATTGTTTTAAATCTCGGTGTGAATGTAAAAATGCAAAGTTATATCAGGTACTAATCGTATCAAGCATTTTTTAACATTCTTTATCTGTTTGATTTTATGGGGCAGGAAGCAAAATATTCAAAATTACTTTTACCACCGCGAACGATTTTTATAACTTTTTCGCGTTACAGCGTATGAATATTCATGGGAACGAAATTGGGTGACCCTAAAACTTAGCGAACTTTTACGTATTTCAGTTTCAAAAACGATGATATCCATCTGGTTTCGTTTAAAAATTATTTTTATCATTTTTGCAATTCGAATATCAAAATCGCGAATACGAGACATCGATGATCAAAGTGTTTATGTAAATTGATCCAAGTGGAAGCACGAGTTTGCAATTACCTGACCGTGTCCGCTGAGCCAGACTCACCACCCACGCTGGAAAATCTCACGGCAATGGGTGTCCTTTTCCCAACTTGGGAGAATACACTGGCCTTAGAGTATTTTGTGATGTCATTGGTAACTTCGAAATATCCGAACGCACCTGCGACCAAACGAAAGAAAAAGGATAATGCTTTGAAAAACGAGCGATGGTTACGGGAACGTCGAGCATTCGGGAACGTTTTATGGATATTTCTGTGGTGCATACGCGACTTTTAGGCTTCTTTTTTCGCTCTACGATTTTCGACAACCTCCGAAATCGCTTCGTTTTACAATCGAGAATTGAAAAAATAAAAATGTTAATCTATTGTTATAGAAGGGTTTCCATGAATTTTTGCAACGCGATAGAGAAAATCCCATACGGTCGAGGATTCGAGGGAATCAAAGGTCCAATATCGTTCAGAATTTTATAGGATACGAAAAATCATTGCCAATGTTTGTTCTACGTTTCCTGCATCGGGGTGTACAATCTTCGATACTATAAGAACGTGACGAATCGACGTACCAGCTCCTTTCGCGTGTACTACACGTTCTGGAATCCTTTCCCTATCGAAGTGTGACATTTCATCCAGGTAAACGTAATCTTGCAGCAGTATGGGGCCATTTGGACCCACTGTCAAACTAGCTGTTTTATTGGCAATGGGTACTCCATTTCCGGTTAGCAATACCGGTCTTTTATTCTGTAAACAGAACAATTCATAAGTAAATAGAAGTATTGTTTCAATTTACAAATGATATCGGCGTGTCATTGTTATACTTTAATATGAAAAGACACATTAATTCCAAGAAGATAATAGTAATCCGTTGATTCTCCGAATATGACACCGATTAACGATTGCTTCTTACGAAACAATTTTGTCACTCGACGATCAATTTCCAAAGAAAGGAGAAAAAATTTTTTCGTGAAAATTCCACCTCTTCTAGGCTCGTCTATTATCAAGGGAACCGTGTAGCGTTTTTCAAACTTACGCAATCGCATGATCCTTTTTTTTATCGCATGTCTAACTGACACAGTTTCAGATCGGTTTGCGGTGTAGAAATTATCGTCGTTCATCGCGAAAACTCTCCGAGATATCTAAACAGCAATTCACCGTACGTACATATCGCACAAGTGCGACGCAATTTCTGCAATTCCACGGAGAATTCTAGTGCGTCCAATCATTTTCACGTTGAATTATTCGACTGCGATACATAAAATTGACAACGAAAAGAATGGGCTGTACTCGTTATTATTCTAATCAGTGAATAGTTAGCTTCCTTAACAGTTCGACTGTCATATCACCCACAATTGGGTCTCTTACATATTTTACGAGGAACAATATTATTTACTCAACTATGAAAAATTGAGGGAGCTAATATTAAGTTGGCCGCGATGTCTTGCGAATGAAATTTGATTTGATCTAATATCATATAAAATAATGTAATAGAATATTTTGCGTAATCATCAAAGTGGCAACGAGGAATAATTGCTACTAAAAATAACAAAATCTTCGCTAGATTAGGACTATAATTTTCCCTGGGAACACAAACGATCCAAGAAATCAAAGGTAAATTTGAAATTTTCTCTAATTTTGCTTTGGGGTTCGATAAATTCTAATGAACCCTGAAATGGAAATGATTGCTCACTTTTTTTATAATACATGACATATTTATTGCACCATTTTTCATATGTAGATTGCATGTAGATTACACAAGAAAAATCATTAGTGAAGGCAAACACAGCCGTAGACAAAATCAATTGGTATGAATCATGCTGGAAGCATGATGTGTAGAATTTTTTTTCTTTTATTAGAATGTTGTATATTTTCAATATTTTCAAGAATCGTACAACACGAGGTATAAGAGATGAATTTAGAATTTACTCATGATTTTTCCTGAAGTGGTTCACCGTCACTATCATCGAACAAACTTCGGTTATCAATTTCATAACACACAGCAAAAATTGCTTCTTAACAGCGATTAGTTGTTCCTTTGTGGGATGTGTTTAGATATACGTGGATAAAACCTACATAGACAAAAAAGATAGGGTATGACCTGTTATTTTTAACTTGATTCCAAGTGAGATATTTATCGCATTGTTTAACTTGGAAGTTATAGAAAAGAATTTTACAAGATAGAAAACATAACGGTGTTACATAATACGATCAAATATGTAGACATTTGCATCGTGAAATTATGAAATTACCCATTACGAAACGACGAGGTTCTCTTTTCAAAGCGATGATGTTCATGTGCAATCATGATTTTCTAGTCTCGCATCTGGTTTATTCATGGAAATGTAGATTCATTAATTAGCGACCACTTCAAATACACACTTAATAATCGTGTGTAATTGATCATCAAATATTGTCTTCTTGGATTCGACAATGTATATTCTAATTTTACTTTTTGATTGATCTAATCGGGATCGATAAAGATTGTAATTACGATTCAATTTTCCAAATACTATTTACGGGAAAATTTTATTAATTTCAATAATTGTGATAAGGTATCATTATCACGAGTGACCTGGATTGAAAATGGTGTTGGCACGTTCCCTAAACAAAGAATTCTTTCATCTTTTCATATTAGCGATAAATTCAATCGTTTGATTAGTTTCCAAGTAAAACAAGGGTTACAGATTTTTTTTATTCGCCAGTTTGCACTTTAACCTGGTGAATTAAAGCGCTTTTTAGGAACCAAAGAACTTATATGACATTAATCCTGGGAAAGAGATAACACGATGATGAGTCCTTAGGCCAGACGAGCTGATATCTTAATGAATAAAACATTGTTCGTTGAACAATCTTCTGTTGATGCCTTTAATACATTCTTCTTCTTAAGTACACAATTATACATATTACACATAATTTGTGTTCTTCTTAATAATTAATGTGTGTAGTGTGTACTGGATAAAAAACATAATTTAAATTCTTTAAAAAATGCAGCGTATGTAATGAATTATTAATAAATGCAACGACTATAGCACAGGTATAATAGGTACTCAAAAAGGAAGAAACTGTAATTAAAAAATAAAAAAGATTAGAAACCAAAGATTTAAACCCCGGACCTCTGGATTGCGAGCCATGTGTTTAACCGCGTTTCCCCTCGTTAATATATTCATCTTCATTAAATACAAAAAAATAACCCTTGAACCGGTTACTCCATTTTCACGTACTCCACTATCGTTATCACGAGTCTCTTTCTCTAACATTATGAAATCTAACTCTCAATGTCATTCGCTAATAAATCATCATACGATATAAATTTCTTGCAATTAATACTCAAACGATCGATTCGTCACCTGTACAAAACATATTCGTAGAATTTTAATTAAACAACATCCATGCGAAGATTCAAATCGAAAACGAACATCGCATTAGATCTGTCATATCGATAGATACCTGTTGTACCGATCGATCGATGATCTTGCACGATAGAATTTTCCATTCACTAATTTGAATAAAACAAAATGACTACACGACTTCATAACGAAAATACGCGGTAAAAATATGCATAGATCGCGTTGATATACGAAAATTGTATTTAAAACATACCTCCGCTTTTGACTTGTACTCGTTCAACTGCTCGGAAGCAGGATCCCTTTGTTTTTCAGACATATCGTCGTCGTTGTCTTTGGAATTCTTCTTACAACAATAATTTCTTAGTGATATTCGCTGAAAAGCCAGTGTGAGGATAGGTTTCTTGTCGAAGAACACGCTCCGTTGCGTGCAACGTTCTGAACAGCAACTGAACGCTGGCAATAACAACGGACTTTTATCATGCCGACTGACCGTCGAGTGAAAAACGCGCAATGGAGCGGCATTACGTGTTAATGGTGGACCCAATGAAACCACTTTAAAAGCTTGAATAAGGCACGAACTACGCTTCGGCATTCTTCGGCAATGAACGTTTCGCGCCTTACTTTTGAATCTGCGTGTAGGTGCCCGGTGAACACGATTTCACGTTTCTTTTCTTTTTCACAAAGGGCGTTAGGAAAGCAGGAAACTGAAAAAGAATAAAGAACTTTGCAGAAATGAAATAGACCAAGTGTTCTGGACAAAGAAACACTTAAACCGTAAGAGGTCAAACAATGTTCTCAATTTATTTATCAATATTTATTCTTATTTACGTAATTATAACTTCTGTCATTATCATTAGAATGCTTTCTTCAATGTTTTTCAAAGCGTCGCATAAACAAAACATAGATTATCTAAGAACCCTTCAGTTTCGAAATTCTCCGTAGGATAACAATAGAGAAGTATTCGATTTTTAAAGCAAACCTAAGATTTCTGTTATAAACAATTCTTATCTGCTATATCGTATCGTGTAGGAAAACAAACATTTTTCAAATGTCATTTACCATAAGCTGTTTCAAATACTTTATGTTGCATCAAGTAATTTTGCAAGTAAATGGTTTTGTCATAGTTGAAGAAATCAAGAATTACTGCAATTTGATGTTACTTAAAGTTTGCTGAAAAACCAACATCGTTGCATAAAGCAAGTGAAAATATCAATTGCGATAGAGAATAGAAAAGAAGACGGAAAACTCGTACTCAGCGAACTAGACGATGCAACCAGATTTCTATATTCGTGCATGTTTAAAAAAAAAACGAATTTATAAGAGGTACGGGTTCAATCAGCGAATAATTATCTAGCATGAAACTAGTGTATCATAATTGCACTTGTTAACGTGTACGGGATGACTAAGAACAACGCAATCTTTATTACACCTGTACATACATACTTTGTTTAAATTAATTTCCAACTTTATTTTTATTTTTGCACGTTGAAATAACATTGCTAATTAAATCATCACTTGAAATAATTATAGAAACATGTCCTCGTTATAATCATCGAATTTTATAGTCAAGAAAAATGTCGCGACTGTTGGGTGTAAAGGAAGATCCAAAAGTAATTAATTTTTCATAATTAGAGGAAAATTTTGTTTACTAAACTTTGATAAATATTTATACGTCACAATGTAATTATTGTTATTATTTTCTTCTATGTACATATTTATCTATACATATTCCATGTTCAACGCGTTTATCAACATTTCATATCTCCCGTACTTTTCAAACCGTAAAACCCTCTAATTATTTCAAACGGCGCATTATAGGAAACGCGGTTGCATAAAACTTAAAACAGTGAGTCACGCGAATACAAACTTGCAGAAATCCAGAGTTTAGAAGAAACAAAGAAAAGATCTGTTGCGAATAAACCGAACGTAAGAATATTCAATTAAAGCTAAAGAAGAAATTATAATTAATGCTTATTATCGATAGTGGTATCAGTCTAATCAATTGTGTTTTAAAAGCATTTGAATATTCCTAAACTGATTATTAAAAAAAAAAATTCCTAAAAATCAAAATAGAAATTTTATCGCTTTATCAAACTGATCCATGAAATTTGATTAATTAAATCGAACTTCTAAGGTTATATCATCAGAACTAAAATTACGTATGATGATACAACATATGTAGATACGATAACGCGTAATACATTCAGGACGAACAAATTTTACCTTTGATCCGAAAATCTGGATATCATTTTCTTTAAAGTCTAACTGTCCACCTTTTATAATCTTCAGGGTCGAATATAAATGAGCGAAATGGTTGTAACGACACTTCACGTAATAAAACTTTCAAGCTATTCAGAATAGCATAATCGATCGAGAGTGATAAATGCGAAATGTGTGTCAACGTGTAAACCTTAGTTTCAATTTCTAATAGAATACCAGCACTTGTCTAAACTTAGCAAATGGAACTTGATGATTTTTTAATTTTTAATCAGTAGTATGGATAAATCAATAGGCATTTTTGATAGAAAAAGAAAATATATAACTTTGATGGTATAAAGTATCGTATTGACAAATCTCTGATCCTATGAATTGTGCCTAACCGCTGCTATATTTGAGTCCAGAGTTAGAAAGAGAATATTCGTCGATGACCTGGATAGTACTATTAGAAGAGCAGTCGCCTGGCCTAGCGGGAGATTATGTTTAGGATGTTCAAATGATAAGTAGAGAATTTCTGTTTCGCAACTTTCTTTATTAACGCCACTGCAGCTTCATCTGAGCCAGGTACAATTCCGAGCTCGACACCGAAAGCGAGCTCGCACACAATAAATGTGCAGCCCTTATACATCATACGTACACATCCTGAATTTTCACCATTCGTTACTTAACATAGGAATTTACAAAAATCACGCAAGCCCGAATGACAGCGACTCCTTTAAAAGTGCTCGATTTGCAAGAGATTTGTTGCTATTATTCTTGTTCTAAATTTCTTCTGGTCGCTACATATCGGCGTAGAACGCGCAACACGAAACCATTCTTCCTAGGGATTGTACAAAGAATACAAGAAGTCGTACCTCATCTTTGGTAATTAGGGAAGAGATTGTTGGCGGTAAAAAATAAAGTTCGTAGTGATCGACGAGAAATTGAACGTACTTGGTGTATGTGTGTGTGTGCCATGATCAGAATTATTACTACTTCGTTCGTCGACGGAAACATAAGTTAAAAATCTACGCAACGAGCTATAAACATCTCACGATTATGTACATAAGTTCATTGTTCTACAAGACAATTCTGGAAAAAGCATGTGCGATAAAACCGCACGCTAAGTATATAGCAGAACATATAAAATAATATATTACACTCTATATATATAATATATATATATATATATATAATATGTATACATAAAATTTTTTTTTTACGCGATTCAAATCATTTATATTTGAAAAACTATATATTATCTAAACAAATAATGTACAATAAATTATTTCTAATTACTACCCGACTTGGTTGCACCCTGCAAATGAACATGTTCCTGTATCATTGACGGTAATCACGATCTTATTGCAACTAGGTAGCAAATGTCACGGCAGCTTCGAAAACTCATTGTCTCATGTCTGTATCGATTATCACATTGATTGGCGGAGATACAACACTATTTCTTCAGTTTCTAGACGTTTTAAAAAAAAAGCTTTCCTACGTACGAAATTACAATACGTAACTTGAAAATAAACGTTCTCGTTTTACTATCGTTCGAGTCATGCATAATCTTCGAAAGAAATGAATGATGCTAGTAAAGAGTACTCTGATGGACCGTTTTAGAAGTTTCAAGCTAAAGATTATAAGCATCGAGTTAAGAGATTCTAATCGTCTTTTAGTTTAAAATAAAAAAAAAAAATATTCCCCAATGAGCACTGAACACCTAACGAATTAATTACATTTGGCGAAGTTTTACGACCGATATTTATCCATAAAGAAATACCGAAAATGATCCTTAAATTGATTAAGAGTCGTACAACATTTCCTCTGTCTCTGTTACATTATTCGTAGAATCGTTAGCGTACCGTGCTACAATCTTTATTATAAGTATAATTAAATAGATAGAGCATTCGTTTGACCAGATAAGTGGTGATTTATCGGTGCCTCGACAGCATAAAATGGAAACCACGCCAAACGCCTGGTTCACGCGTAGGTGAAGTTTAAGCTGGACCATAGACCGGGATCAGCGAGTTCCCAAAATGTCTAGGCTAGCCATTCATTGGCACTGGTAAAGGGCATTGCACTTGCCACACGATTAAATGACTTTGTTCCCCGTGTTCTTCAGCGTTCGCAGCCACGGCACTGTTAGATCTCTCCATGCTTTCTTCCGTGTCTTCTCCATCACCTGAGAAAATAGCAATTTGCGATTAAGTGAATAATTTCTTAAACAATGATTGATGATAGGAATAGATAAGAAAGTGCGAATGTCAATCATTTTTTTTTTTTTTATACAGTACGATGCATGTCAGCTGGAAATGCCCGACCCCCAGAGGAACGAAAGAAGCAGAATAAATTATTATACGGTATGTAGTTGAGCTTGAGAAACAAAAGTGCAAACACAGTTTCTTGTATTAATGGAAATTATGAAAATGATTTGTGCTGTACAGAAGCGAATATTCTTATGTCGATTTTCGCGATCTTCCAGTTTGAAAACATTAATGAATTTAATTAGAAAATCTGTACATATACACATATGTGTACATACACAGTATGGTATACTGGCATTTTTCGAATAGAACATTTTATAATGTCGGGTTAGAAATGTGTCTAACTACGAATTTGTTAGTTTAGAATTTCATTACACCGTGCACAGAACATAGTCTCAGTAGTTAGTATAGGTAATTTCATAAATCAATAACACAAAACTGATTCACGAAACGTACAAACGGTTGTGTAAATCGAGATATAAAGACCCATCGACCTCTTTTCATTCCTCTCTGGGGGCATACCTGACCAACTGCCACACAATCAGATGAGTGGCCACGTCACTCTCGTCTTCTGCCTCATCTGCTGGAAGTGTTACAATTGTGTAAAACGATATTTTGATAGTAGTGTACTTTTTATTAATAGTATATGTAACGCCGATACTGCGCTATTAGAAATGTTGGATACATAAATTGATGAACTGTTTGTTAAAAATAAATTCATGAACATAATTACTTACCAACTCTAAAATCTATGTACCCTTCGCCTCCGGATAGAACAAGCATGGCTGGTTGAGAACCATCAGACACTGCACTTTGGCCGCCATGACCTGCAATAACAGACCAAGAAAGCTTATAAACATCTTCTTGTATGTCATTATTAAAACTAACTTTTATTTTTATTTTATTGCAGAAACGAGTAAGAAGTATGGATAAACTTACCAGGCACTGCAACGAACATCTTCACCGCATCTCTATGTCCATGAAAACTAAGTTGAGCATGAGCCATGCTGCAGTAAGGTATAAAACTTCCACGTGTAACACTACGGTCTGATGCAAAAATTCGGACACCGACTCCTGGCGCTTCAGTTTTTCCACTTGCTGCTTGAACTCTGGACACTGCCATTGAACCTCCAGCACCTACGACATATACATCTTTCATTCATAGACAGATATTTATTATTGTACAGCTCTAAATTAACTTACCTTCGGCCAAGGGAACTGAAATTATTACTCCGTTTCCTGTACCAATCCACAATCTATTCGATGAAATGAGTAAGGCGGTAATTCTTACAAAAGAAAAGCCAAGTTTTCCAGTTCCGAGCATTTTGCTAACGTAAGGCTCTATATCGACGTCTTGAAGATGTTGGTACGTATGGGCATGGTAGAGTCTAAGCGTTGAGTCTAATCTAATACTGACCCATACTCCTTCGCCTAACCAAGCTAATTGTCTCACTTGTGATTCTCGACGGGGATGAGCATCTACGGTACACTGGAAGTTTATTTTACATATAATTTATAGTATATTAAATCAGCTAATTAACAAAATTATATACAAATCTATGTACCTCGACCGTCATTAAAACTGGATCTATTACGTGAATCTTATTTCTATATCCGCACCATACAGTTCTACCGCTAACAGCAGCCATGCACCTAATTGAATGTTGTGGACTACCCAAAGTAATCACATGATATTGAGACAAATCCCATTGTCCGTCTGCACCTCTTCGAAATAATGCGACAGTTCCGTCAGCAAGAGCTACAAGAACTCGCCCTTGTACGTGTCTAGAAAAGAACATTTATATTATCTATTAAATCATTCCTAAATTAAGTTAAACTTTAATGAAATTATTAATAGTACATACACAATCGCCAAAGCAGCATCTTTCAATTTTACAGAATGCAAGCAAACTGACCACTTAGCGACAGCCGAATGAACAAACACCGCACCATTTTGAGCTCCTAGCCACATAGTAGGTTGTATCGAAGACATCTTTTCTATAGGTGTACCCTCTTCAACTTCATCGTTTTGGTTCTCTTCGTTTGTATCATCTTTCTCATTTAATCGCGACGGTGGTGATTCCAGATTAACTTTTACAAAGTATACTTTTCCTAGATTCATCGTTTCACTATCTACGCTTTCCAAACTTTGCGGCTCGGTAGTAATGTTTTGATTGGTATTGTCCGACTCGGTGCTCTCGTTATTCTGTTCTTCTGAAACACTGTCGGATTCATTTTTACTCTTATCCGATGGAGCTTGAGTTTCTTGTTTATTCTTCTGATTGATCTGTTCGACATTTGCATTCTCCTCGTGGCCATCGTTGTCGTTTACTCCGTTAGTAGTTTGAACTGGTTCTTCATTTACACCTTGAATGTAATCACTTTCTTTGGCTCCAGGTACACTTGCAATGCATAGTAAATGTCCTTGGCAAACGTTGAATACTTCCAAAACACCGGCTGGATTATTAGCATCTATCACAGTAACTTTCGACATCTTCTGCGTCGAAGTGCAGATCCACACCAATGAGCTAAGTTGTTGTTCTAATTGTTCTGCCTCTACCCTTTGATTCTCGTTCTCCTGAATCTCCTTATCCAAATGTTCAACAGCATCCTCAGCTTCAACTTTCGTATTACTACTTACTTCTTGTGCTTCGGCCGCGTAAAACACACTTCCCCCGATCATACAACCACCGTCTCGTGTTTTACCACCGCTTAAATTTACACCAGCGCCACACCATATCTAAATAGAAATGAAGGAATTTGTGAAAGACAATTTGTACGTAGAACCTGGTGCATTAACAAGTTAAATGTACCTTCATTCCTGGTTCTGATTCTTGTAAAGGCCTACAATAGACTGGCACAGGAACTGGTTGCCTAACAGGAGCACTCGGTTTACCTGGTAAACTCCAACCATAGGCTTGTAATCGTCCATCTTCTTTTCTAACATGGGCACGAACCTGTCGATATTGTTCTCTACGTTCATTTGCCCTCCTGGCAACTAGTTTTTCAGAAGCTCTGTAAAAATGGATAAAACACATATTGTTACATACTTTTAAAATATACATAATACAGTTAGATTTTTAGTTATAAAAGTTAGTAGATTTACTGAGTACTGTTGCCTGTTCAACCATTTATTCCTATTGAAGACTTTCTCGATCACTGGGCACACTTTTCTTGGATTCAAATGAAGACTTAATCTGACTGTTCTTTCCATCTAATGCTCAGCTTCATTATTTACTCTCACGACGAAACTTATATTTACGTTTAAAAGCAAAATGTTAATTATACAACAGAACAGATTCACCTGCTGGCCAATAAGCACCCCACCGAAAACCAGAGCAACCAGGTATCTCTTGACAACGCCACGAAGGAGAGGCAAGGATGAAACCCAAATGAAAAATTCAAGCGCAGAGCAAGAGAGAAATAAAAGCCAAGTTTATAACATAGTCAAAACGTCATTTATTTATTGATCAATAATGATCATATTGTTCCTTTTTTTTTTTCTTTAAAAATGTACAAATCTTTATTTACAAAACTATTGCTTTTCAAGCATGACTTTGAAAGATAGCAAATAATTTACTTTGTTGAATTCAAATGTATATAACCACTGTTGTAAGTGGTACAGTAACTTATATCATAAATATATAAGTACTGTTCCAGTTCAATATAAACGGTCATTTACAGTTTCATTTATATATAAGAAATAAGGAGAAAGATATATTATGTTAGTAAGAGAAAAATAGTCAAAAAGGTAAATTCTATTTGTGTGCAGAAGACCATGATCTTATCTCAATATTTAATTATTACAATATAGCGCATGAAATGTATATCTACGATTTTTTATTTGGTTTTAATTTAAAAATGGGAGGTAAGGAAAATTTGCAACATTGTTAAAAACCATCACATTTACAAATCGCTCAGCAACAAATTACTCACATTTGTTGAGAGCGATCAAGAGTAATTTGAGAGTCGCGACAAAAGATTATGGATCCCAATTGACCAAAGAGGACTCTAATCTGGAAACATGAGGCGGATTCAAATATGTTACTCAAAATTTAAAATGTATCAAATTTCTCCCACAGAGATAAAAACATTTTGTCGTCATTGCAATAGCTTTGATAAAATATTAAAAGAAGTTCACGTATAAAATTCATATCGCGACTATATCATTGTAAAACTTTTCGTTGTAGAGACGATCACAGTATCGTAAAACTATAGTTTGAAAAAAAAAAGCGTGACGGTGAAGAAGTAAATCTCTATATAATGAATAGAGAAAAATTTGGCAGGCTTTAGTATCAGACTGACAATATCTAAGTGCGTGTATAGAATTTGATTGATTTCTCACATGGTGTCTCCCTGGTCGAAAATCTCATGGCGACCTTTCAACGTACGTCTTCGCATGGCGTCCAAGGATGATGCCGGGACAACTTGATTTGTTGGTGCACTATACCTAATATGAGGTAACGTGTGCGCTCCGCGAACCAAGGTCCCCCGATCCGCGGGTCCTGTAAAAAGACTACTAAAACTGAAAACAATAGGAAATCATTAGTATTCGATCCGACATTATATTTCCGTTTTACACAAATGATACTAACAACTTCCACACCGAACCTTTTCCCCCTGATATACTAGAAGGATCTGTTTTGCTGGCTCTTATCATTTCTGTCCATCTTACAGCTTCTTGAAGTTCCATAAATCGTTCTTTATATTGATTTCTCTCCATGAGTACTCTAGCCATCTCTACTCTAGTAAATCTTTTCCTTTGCGCCAATGGTACATCTTCTTCGTCGTCGCTCTTGGCCGCTTTGGCTGCTGCTTCAGCTTCTTCTTTAACTTTCTTTAATTCTTCTTCAAGGGCTGCGACCCTTTGCTTTAAACGTTCTCTAGCTTGTTGTAAGCCCCGAACTTCTTCACGCAATATTTCTTGCTCGCTACAAAACATATTTGCTTATGAATATATTGTATATTATGTACGAAAAAGATCGCATTATTCCTTAACATACCTTGTTAGTTCGTCTACTTTGACGATTAGATCATCTTTAACGATATTGAGCGCATTCCTGAACAAAGTTAAATATAGCACATAGAACTAAGTAAAAACGTAAAAGGTCGATTAACTGACTATTAATGTAATACTTACTTCGTGGCTAGAAGCTCATTGTTTTCCATAATAAGATTTTCTACCTCTTTTCCCATTCCTAATAGAACATTATTTAATTAAATATGATGTAACACGATTAATTTATATACATTGTTAATGTCATATGTATAATATCTTACCAAAGAAGTTGTCATTAACTGCATGGCGTATTATTATATCATGCAATTATACAGTTAAGGCATGATCACAGCCAGCACAGGTAAGAAGGGGAATAATAAAACATAAAAATTCATTAGCACATAATATTTTATACGATATAGTTTGAAATTTAATTCCAATATTAACCCTCAGAGTTCTAGTTTCTAAGTAATATACTTTTGATAGTAGTTAATAAGGTTAATAATTTTAAAGTTTACGCATGCAAAAAATTTATTAGATATTAAGCTGTAAAGTTAGTAAAGAAAGATGTAATGTGGATATGGTAATATAAATTTTCTTCTCTAATATTAAAAAGTTAGTTAGAACTCAAAGGATTAACAAGTAAACGATAATATTTTTGCATAAATTTGTATCTATTCTCTGCAACATACCCGACGATGCATATTCTCCAGGATGAACCCAACTGCCTAAAAGTTTAAAGCTATTGTATTAATCATCGAGCTTTAAACTTAAGTTAAACATGTTACAAATAATTACCAGTAATGTCCGCCCCTTCGTCCATTTCACCCAATGCATCAGCATCTTGAAAACTGAGTTCCTGATACAATGTATTGCCACTTCGTTGCTCTCTTTCAGTTCTACTCCTTCCACTTGGAGTAGTAGCTAATTTTTCTACCGTTGGTGACGTTGGTGTAACCAATAGTGGAGGTGCTTCGGTTTCAGGACTTTCGTCTACGAGTAGAGAAAAATAAAATAGTATGGTAGAATTACACAAAACTGAAAATTCAATGATTCAAAAAATAACATACGTCTAGAAATTGCTGTTGTTTTATTTGCTTTCGCTGGTTTATCCGTTAATTGACTTTTATCAGATGTTTCAATAGCAGCTTCACTACTATTGTCCAACATTTCTGTTCTTAAATTAGCAGCATTTGGCGGAATGTCATCTTGAACATCTTCCGCGTTTATACTAGCTTCTAAGCTCTGAAAACCATAACTTAATGGCCCAGAACTTCGAGACATATGAGCTAGACCAAGGGATGGCAAACGAGATGGACCACGACCGCTAGTTGCATTTTCTAATCTTTCTGTACTTCCAACTAACATCTTTGTTCTTTCCATATAATCTACGTGTGTTTTAAATAACTCTGTGTACCTCTCATGCAGACGAGTATATTCACGTTTCATTTCTGCTTCTTTCTCTTCAAGACGGACAACTAAACAAATACAAAAAGTGACATTCCATATCTGGTATAATATCTTTACCATAATGTTTAAATATGACTGAAAATGTTTTAAACTAAAATAATGAAATGTGTTGTATGAAAGTATGTAATTCACCTTATTTTATACTACAATAAACATGTAGCAAGTTTTTACAAAATATACATGCAAAAAGAATCTAAACCCAAAACATAATTTAGTTAAGTGAATGTATGCTATTAATAACATGAACATAAATAAATGTAAAACAAAAAGCTTTCTACTCTACTGTAAAGGGATGTTTTGTGAAGGGATGGTCTGAGAGAACCAGTGGCTTTTGTACCGTGATCATGTGAATTCTTTGTCTTCAGTTCCAGCATCCTTACAATTGACTCCAAGCTATCAATCTTTGATACAAGTTCTTTTCTTTCATCTTCTGCAACATCTTCAAGCTCAAATAATTTCTAAGAAAAAAACAATGTTATAATAAGTGTTATTTCTTTTAATAAAGTGAATACAATATTAGAAAAACTTAATTTCACCTGATCAGATGCTTTTCTTAATTGTTTTTCCCTTTCATATTGGGTCACAAGTTGTTCATTATCTTCCCTTAATAATTCTAATTCAACTTCGCGTTCTTGATTTTCTGTATAAGATATGTCTAGGCATTCTAGAACATTGACTAGCAGGGGCATTAGATCTTTAACCACATCTTCATCATAACGGGCTATCATTTTTTCAAATTCTTGATAAATACTACCAGCCAGAGATTGTACTTTCTCTGACATGACCACATGGCTATCCTCATGTGTCCCATACACTGTTTCTTGATCCATTTCTACTTGACTCATTTTGTATACCTGTAATATATAAGTTTACCATAAATTATCATTACATTATTCACACTGTTCTTTTAAATACTATTTTATATTTTCCTCTTAATAGTACACAGTTTTATATGTTAAAGCACATTTTAGGCGTTTTGCCAAGTAAAGAGCTAATATTACAAAGTAAGAATGACACATCAGAAACGTTATTGCACAACAATAGAGAACAACGAATTTTAATAATTACGAACTCGAACGAATTATACGTCTACGAAGATATTAATATGATAAACTATCATTACACTCAACTCTCAGCAGTTTGTACTTCGATTATACTTCAAATGGTTTTCAAAGATCGTTTAAAAACGGTTCGAGTAACGTGACATTATTAAACAGCACAGTCGCACTCTCTTTACAAGGCTCAAAATTAATCGTGACTCTATGTCACACTAATTGCCAAATATTATTACAAGGATCCTCAATGAATGTTCATAAAAAAATCTAAATGTCAGACGCATAACTGCACATAACCTTGCACGATACAGTTCAAGATTGGAGTACACTTTTAGAGCGATAAGATTAAATCAGGTCATCGCGATTCCACAGCGTAGAACTGCTGAATCCCGTGATACATGGTCATTCGCATTATCTCTATTTTTACGTATCGCAAATTCCTTAAAAACGAAATGGAACGTCTTGCCTTAAAGTGGCTCGTTCCGTGTTGTGATTTGTGACGTTTCGCAACCACTGGATCTTATGGTTCGCCGTTTGTTCTTTCGTTTTATCACGCAATTAAACACTCGTATAAAACGTTGTATGCGATCACACGAATTGTGCCAAAACGGTACTAACTAAAGGGAACATTTTTCATACATAACGTCTTTACGTTTGACATTAGCCAATTTCATTACTTTCTGTCAACTGTGTTGACGATCGTCTTTACACGTAAACCTTCGCCATATTTTTTCACTTTCCACCCAGGAATATTACAAATGTATGGTCACAGACGAGGTATAGGATAGACCACTAACGCAATGTATTTTTATGTCATACAATTCGGAAGCTCTAGAGTTCCTTTACCATTTTCTTGTCGCATCCTGCAATACCAACTACAATTGGTATTCCATCACAACTTATCAAAACTGACACTAACTATATCCTCGATAAAATCAGTAGGATAATAGGTGTGTTTGTTGGAGGTCCTAAGACCCTCCTTTAACCACAGTGCAGGCCACGGTGGTGGTTTTAGTGGGTAAAAATCACACACTACCTCCGGCCCCTACCCGGGGGGGCAGGTGGTGTCTTGTTGAAGATTTCCATCACGTAAATAAAAAAAAATAAAAAAATATATTTTGTCGGTATGCAGAGAGAGTCGCCGGGATCCCTGATACCCCGTGATGATATTTTGTCGGTGGGCAGAGCCGCCGGGGTTCCAGACACCCCAGGATCAAATCAGGTCGTACCCATCACTAGTCCGAACAAGTGAGTTTCACGATTTGTTCGTTTTTAGGTCTTATATTTCGCTATTTGCTTCGGGGTTCCTGACACCCCGGTAGCATAATATCGGTATGCAGCATCACCGGTACCTGGGGGTCTCAGATACCCCGAACGCCGTAATGTCGCTAAGCAAAGAGTGTCATCGGTGCTTCGGGGTCCCTGACACCCCGGATGCCAAAATATCGGTATGCAAACAGTGTCACCGGTGCTTCGGGGTTCCTGACACCCCAAGATGATATCATGCCGGTATTCAGAGATAGCCATTAGTGCTTCGGGGTTCCTAACACCCCTGGATGATATCAGGTCCGTATGAAGAGGGCACAACTAGTATAATTTTTTTCCAGAGATTATTTAATTTACTTCACTTATTTTTGTTTACTTATTAAATAAGTTCATCGAAGGGGAATAACATTTATGCTTATATCCCTCTTCTGGGTCTCAGCCGAGGACCCCGTTTATTTTACTTTTTCCAGTTATTTATATAATTTTACCTCTCATTATAGACCAAGGCTATCTCAGTATCCCTTACATCCCTACATTATTTTCATCCCTACATGCCTAACATCTCTTCATCCCTTAAATCCCTACATTATTATCATCCCTACATTCCTTACATCTCTTCATCCCTTAAATCCCTACATTGTTATCATCCCTACATTCTTTTCATCCCTACATTCTTCTCATCCCTACATTCCTTTCATCCCTACATTCCTTACATCTCTGCATCCCTTATAATAAATACATTATAAAGACTGCTTCGGGTAAAGGTAAGTAAAGGTAAGTAAAGGTAAGTAAATTTTCGCAAAAATAACGCCCCCTAGCGGCAAAAATTTGACCTAACATTTCGATGTTGAATCAGCGCCCTCTGGGGGCAGAAAAAGGAACTAAAGCAGGCTGAAATTTTGGCCCTCTGGTGGCAAAAATGTGAACTAAATTTTCGATGTCGAATCAGCGCCATCTGGTTTCAGAAAAGGGAACTAAAGCTTGCCGAAATTTTGGCCCTCTGGCGGCAAAAATGTGAACTAAAACTTCGACGTCGAATCAGCGCCATCTGGTTTTAGAAAAAGGAACTAAAGCTTGCCGAAATTTTGGCCCTCTGGCGGCAAAAATGTGAACTAAAATTTCGATGTCGAATCAGCGCCCTCTGGTGGCGAAAAAAGGAACTAAATTTGTATAAAATCGCTGGCCTTATACCGCAAAAATTTCAGGGAGGTACTGGAATGTATGGAATGGAGGAATATAGGTGATACAAGGATGTAAAGGATACCGGCATGTAAGGGATGCAGGGATGTAAGGGATGTTGGGATATAAAGAAGGCAGGAATGTGAGGAATGCAGAAATGTAAGGGATGTAGAGATGTAAGGGTAGCAGAGAAGAAAGGGATGCAGAGATGTAAGGGATGAAGAGATGTAAGGAATGTAGGGATGAAAAGAATACAGGGATGTAAGGGATGAAGAGATGTAAGGAATGTAGGGATGAAAAGAATGCAGGGATGTAAGGGATGAAGAGATGTACGGAATGACGGGATGTAAGAGATAAGGAGATGTAAGGAATGTAGGGATGGAAAGAATGTCTGGATAAAAAGAATGTAGGGACGTATGCGATGAAGAGATGTAAGGAATGTAGGGATGAAAAGAATGTAGGGATGAAAAGAATGCAGAGATGTTAGGACTACTGAGATGTAGGGGTTGCTGGGATGTAAGGAATGAAGTGATATAAGGGTGCAGAGATATAGTGGAATCAGAGATATAAAGGGTGCAGTCGGAAGTAATAAAATAAACACATTCGTCCTCCTAAGGAATTTATTCAATAAGCTAAGCAGATAATTACAGTAAATTAAATGAACTCAGAAAATAAAGTAAGGGTATATGTATGCCTTTATTTTGTCGGTGGGCAGAGAGTGTCGCCGGGGTCCCTGACACCCCATGATGACATTTTGTCGGTGCGCAGAGAGAGTCGCTAGGGTCCCTGACATCCCATGATGATATTTTGTCGGTGCGCAGAAAGAGTCCCGGGGTCCCTGACACACCATGATGATACTTGGCGGTGCGCAGGGAGAATCACAGGGGTCTCTGACACCCCAGATGGTATTTGGCGTTGCGCAGAAAGAGTCCCGGGGTCCCTGACACCCCATGATGATATTTGGCGGTGCGCAGGGAAAATCACAGAGGTCTCTGACACCCCAGATGATATTAGGTCGGTATACAGAGAGCGCTATCGATACATCGGGGTCCCTGATACCCCGGATACTATAATGTCAGTATGCAAAGAGCATTATCGGGGCTTCGGGGTCCCTAACACCCCAACCCATCGGTTATTGCGCCATCTATATAAAAGCGAAGCAAACTATTTGTTAACTTATCGACTGCCGAAGGGTCGATTACCGACTGTCAAAAGTTCAGTCGATAAGTCGGTAATTTATTGAGTAGTTTCCGCCGCTTTTATATAGATGGCGCTGTGGTCGATTTTACAAATACCTAATTCTAGGCGGTCTTTTCAAACTATAAGTTTGTCAAATAATTATTCTAATAATTTTTCGGTCTTCATAAGACCCCCCACCGTCCGACTGGTGCGGTAAAAGAAGGACTGGTAAAACAGGCACGATTATCATATCGGCTGTACTCTTTGCATGCAGACTTCATCTGATCTGAGGGTATCTGGGACCCCCTTAAAACAAAACATGTCTTTTGCATGTGTAGCAATGTGTAGTCACTGGTAGTAGAATGCAGTAGAATGATGGCAGATGTAAACTAGTGAGATATGTTAAAATTGTAGTTTCATAAAATAATCATGGAAGATATTAATGATAAGTTTTTTTACGTGTACAGTTCTTCTTTAGACACAAGAATACAAATTAAAATGTAAGTTTAACTGTTAAATGTGTTGAATATAATAAATGTGGATATTAGCTGGTATCAGGTTACTATAATAAATACTCGATATCTTTTTAACGAAGACAGGTGGACCAGCGGCAGCATCATTAAATATAAAATAATCCGATTATAATGTCTAATAAGGATACAGAACAGACAATCAAATATTTAATGATAGATTGTATTCTAATAGCTATTTTAATTAAACTATCATGCAATTATATTTTAGTAATAACCATAATAACATATTTCTTTATAGAGGAACTTTAGAAGGTAAAAGGCAACGACCAGAATATGACAAATTACTTATTGATCCCATGTTAAAATATTGTGGCTTATATGGAACCAATGGAGGGCGTGGAGATTTAGCAGCTTCTTTACAAGTCTGGGCTGGTGGAAGACCGCTTGCTTTACCTGTTCACACAGCTTATAAACATTTTACATCACGTTGGAAGTATGTATAGTATTAATTAATTCAATATATTTTTGATAATTAAATTCTTTGTGTTTATATAGTTGGAATCAATGGGTCAGTCTTCCTATCTCTTATTCAGATTTACCAAGAGATGCTCAGTTGTGTATAAGTTTATATGACTGTGCTGGACCTGGCAGACAATTACCAGTTGGTGGAACAACTATATCTTTATTTGGAAAGCATGGAGTATTTCGTCAAGGAATGTTAGATTTAAGAGTATGGCCTGGAGTAGAAGCAGATGGTGATGTACCTTCTAGTACACCAGGAAAAACTAGAGATCATGGAAAGGAACAAATGCAACGATTAGCAAAACTAGTTAAGAAACATAGAAATGGTCAAATGAATAAAATTGATTGGCTAGACAGGTTGACATTTAGAGAGATTGAGTTAATTAATGAAAGAGAGAAAAGAGCATCTGAATATTTATATTTAATGATTGAGTTTCCAGAAGTAACTATGGATGGTATACCGGTATGAAAAATTTATCAAATGAAACTAATATAACATATCTTTAAAGCATTCTGTGTGGTATGTTTTCTATTTATGCAGTTCTATTTTTTATTCTAGTATTCTATAGTATATTATGAAAAAGATGGAGATGAAGTTGTTCAACACAGATCACAGCCTGATGTTGTAACTCTTCCTGATTATGAAATTTTGCAAGTATGATTATAAACATTTTTATATAGAATACAAAACAAAGATGATTACTGCGCTGCATCTATTTTCTACTTCCTGAAGATGTTTTTATTACTAGGAAAACTTGGTAGAAGCAAAGCATCACAAATTGGCTCGAAGTTTACGAAGCGGAGGTCATACAAAGGAATTAAAACCAACTTCGAGTGTTCGCGATGCTTTAAATACAATATTAAGTTATCCACCAACGACCGCTCTTTCAACAGAAGAACAAGATTTAATTTGGAAATACAGATTTTACTTATCAAACCAAAAAAAGGCCTTAACAAAATTCGTAAAATGTGTAAATTGGAAAGTTGCCGGAGAAGAGCGGCAAGCATTAGAAATGCTAGCATTGTGGGCACCACCTGATCCTGAAGATGCATTAGAATTACTTGGTCCAGCATTCACACATCCAGCTGTTAGAAGATATGCTATAGGTCGACTTAATCAAGCACCCGACGATGACTTAATGTTATACTTGTTACAGTTAGTACAAGCTTTAAAATATGAAGATTTTGAAGGTATAAAAAGGGCTCACCAAACATTAATGAAAGAAAAAGAATGTGAAAAGGTTGAAAAATTAGATAATGATGTACAAATCAATGATTCTTCATCTACACCTATAACAGCTGTAAGTAACATTATAATATAAATATCGAATTTCTAACTCGTTACAGATAGTACACATCATTTTCAGTCCACTGAATCCGAAAATGGACATTTTTCAACGAGTCAAGACTGTCTTATGGATTTAGCATCCTTTTTGATTACCCGCGCATGTCAGAATACCACATTGGCCAATTATTTCTACTGGTATCTCTCTATCGAATGCGAAGATCAGAATGATCCAGCAATAAGTGCAAAACAGGATACACGAGTTAAGGAAATGTATATTACTGTAATGTCAATGTTTTCAACAATGCTAGCTCAAGGAAATGCTGTTTGGCAGAAACGAAGAGCATTTCTTAAACGTCAAAAAATGTTTATTGATCAATTAGTAGCACTGGTGAAAGCAGTAGCGCGAGAAAGCGGGAATCGTAAAAAGAAGACTGATAGACTTAGGTTGTTGCTCGCAGATCCGGATCCAGCGTTTAAAATAAATTTCTCAAACTTCGAACCGATTCCTTTTCCCTTGGATCCAGAAATTTGTATCAAGGGAATTATCCCCGAAAAGTATGACAAAATTTTCTTCGCGTATTATTTATTTACACTTCGACTAATTAAAATCCCTTCTTTTAGGGCAAGTCTTTTTAAATCAGCTCTTATGCCATCGAAATTAACTTTTTTAACGACAGACAACAGTGAATATATTGCAATTTTTAAACATGGCGACGACCTCAGACAAGATCAATTAATTCTACAAACAATAGCGCTTATGGATAAGTTATTAAGAAGAGAAAATTTGGATTTAAAACTTACTCCCTATAGGTAAATATTTTTAGAATAATATATACAGCATATTACTAAAATATTAAAATGACTATTAGGGTACTTGCAACAAGTACTAGACATGGATTTTTACAATTCATCGAGTCTACGACAGTCGCAGAAGTCTTAGCTAGTGAAGGTTCGATATTAAGTTTTTTCCGGAAGCATCATCCGTCTGAAACTGGCCCTTATGGTGTTGTTCCTGAAGTTATGGATACTTATGTTCGAAGTTGCGGTAAGAAATATATTACGATAAAGGAATAATTCATATCAACTAAAATTGTATAAAATTATCAATTTTTAGCTGGCTACTGCATTATAACGTATGTACTCGGTGTTGGTGATCGACATTTAGATAATTTACTTTTGACAACGTCAGGTAAAGTTTTTAATACCTGCCTATTATATTATTATGAATACAAATGTTTAATAAAATTCAATAATGTTTATATTATAGGTAAACTCTTTCACATAGATTTCGGTTATATTTTGGGCAGAGATCCAAAACCTTTACCACCACCAATGAAATTAAGTAAAGAAATGGTCGAGGCTATGGGAGGTGTAGGATCAGAGCACTATCATGAATTCAGAAAACAGTGTTATACAGCATTCCTGCATTTGCGTAGACATGCAAATTTAATATTAAATTTATTCTCGTTAATGGTTGACGCTAGCGTACCAGACATAGCGCTTGAACCAGATAAGGCAGTAAAAAAGGTTCAAGATAAATTAAGATTGGACTTAAGTGACGAAGAAGCAGTGCATTATGTACACAATCTTTTGGACTTATCAGTAACAGCAGTAATGGCAGTATTAGTGGAACAATTACACAAATTTGCACAATACTGGCGAAAATAAAACTAAATCAATCAAAATAGTGATTATAAAGACTGTGTTCCTTCATAACTATTGCAAATATTACTATATTGTATATAAATAATTATACATTTATAAATGTAATATAATTTATTGTATTTTGGGATTATTTTAGGTAATAAATTTTTGATATTAGTAATAAATAATTGTATTTTATGCACATTTGTAAATTACATTCAAAAATTAATACGATATAATCGCATTAATCAAAAGTTTATTAATAATATGTTTAAATTGCACATATAAATTATGCATGTAGACAGTATTTCTTAATACATAATGTAAATGCTGTTCATTATTCTTAGTTGTGAAAATAAATTCAAAGAAATTAGATATGTTTTTATAGAATAAAAGTTTATTATAACGGGATATTTCAAAAGAATAATACAACAAAAATTTACTCATTGTACATATAATTTGTTATGTAAATATTCATGTATTTATTTTATCTCTTAGTTACAATCGTGTATGTCGCACACTGTAGAAATAAAAAGATAATGTTGTTAGTGATGAAAATATCAAATTGTTATTGATGTAAGAACACAGTACTGCTATTTTAATTGATATCACTTTATGTCACTTATTTAAATTTGATTACCTTAATAAAGTAATACATATATACCAACTTACGATTGTACTAGAAAGTTGTAATAGAAAATGTAGCTATGTATATTTTTTCTCATTTCAGAGTATTACATACTATTTATAGGTACAGAAATTTTTATAGTATAACTTCTTAAGATGGAAGATATATGTATGTACACGTTTATATCAATTGAATCCAAAGAGTAGTTGAAGAATATTAACAATTCAGTCCATCTTTAAAAATTTATCAGACTAAAATTCTTCCAATATATTTGACCAAATTTGTAATTTTCTAATTGTGACACGTGTATATTAATTTTATTTCTCAAATAAAATAACATAATATATACATCCTTGAACATAATTGAAAACGCTACAAGAAATAAAAACAAATTTATTCTTAATAACATGAGCTTATAAAGAATATAATATAACCATTTTTATTAGAATATATTAATAAATCTGTCTTGTTTGAAATTTATAAAGCTTTTTAAAATATGATTCTTTGTTTTAAATTTCATTAAAAAGGGAAAAGCATACAAATGCTTATTCTACTCATACATTATATGTATGGTGCAAAATACATAATATTTCATAAAAACAAATTATTTCATTTTATTGAGATGGTCCACCCTTATTAACTGTATCGATATTCCTTCTAAAATGACTTTCATCCAAGTATAAATATATTTCAAACATGACAGATTTTCCATTAAACTTTTCTATTCTTTACATTTTATAAGCACACAAATTACACATTATTATAGTTGAAATAATAGACTTCTTTATTTCTCATAAATGTAAACTATTACTTACAAAATAAACACTATGTATGTAATAACTCAAGCCTTGATCCGCTCAACCGTTTATACCTGTGACTATAACATCAAAAATTTCAATCAGCAGGTAGTTCATGAGCGAAAAGAACAGAAAACTTATTTGAAAAATTAAGTCTTCAAATAGCCCAAATAGTCTTCACCTGAATTTTACAAAGTTTTTGGGTCGTACGTTAATAGTACCTTATTGAAGATATATTGTGCATTCATTTTTATACAATCATTTAAAAATCGCGTACTACAACTTCTCATGAAGGAGTAGTAGTCAAGTTTTTAGTTTTGCACGATCTTAATTATTTGTAGTAAGAAACCATGATAATGTACAATTATTCTACAATGATTTTATGTGTTTGTCCATTCAACTGAAAGATTATATACGAATCATGTGTACATATTGTTGCTCTAACCGTTACATAACGAAATATATCGATTTGCAGCTGTTACTACTACTCCAATCACCCATACCAAACTTTTATATATCTTGTATTTAAATAATAATTTTCCATATGCCAAAGCATTGATGTGTTCAGTTCGAAAAAAAAAAAAAAAAGTATACGATTGACATTGTTTCAAAGTATCAAACAAGATGAATATAATAGAATTATAATGTTTTCATAATGAAACTATACTTTTTTTATAATTACACTGCTTACCAAAGTTTATGGATTGCATCCACAATTGATACATATATGTATACATCACACACATTTAGTAATATTTATTTATATTTTATTTATATAGATATAAATTATAATACGAATCTAATTTTACCCTTACAGCTAATTACTTATCATATTAACATTATATGTACACTTGAAAATAGATGAGTTTATCTATTCATGGCTGTAATGTCTATTAGTCTATGAAAACAAGGATTTACCTCATAGCACAATGCTATTTTTCATCATAATATATTACCTCTCTGTAGGCCTGGTGGCTGGTACTGAACTTTCTACAAGATCGTGCCTTTCCATTGGAGAACTCTCCAATGTATAATCAACTGGATATCTTTCTGTATAAGTTGGAGTAGCTTCTCCTTGTTGTGTTAACTTTAATTCGTCTGTCTGCTCCTGATAAAAGCTTTGTGATGCCTCAGTATTTTGTGAAGATGATTGTTCTGTTTTCTCTATGTCACTTGCAGAGTAATAGCTTTGACTTGCTTCAGTTTCTGGTCTGTGACCATAATAACTGGGAGAAACATTATGACTGGAATAACTTGGTGTAGCTTCTTCAGGAGTAAAGTAGCTTTGACTCGCTTCATGCGGATTACCGTCATAATAACTAGGAGTAACTTCCTCTTGTGGATCTTCATCCAACCTAGAATTTGTTTCTTGCTCTACTGAATCATAATAACTTGCTGTTACCTCTTGGTGTGTATAACTAGAAGGCTCATTCCTATGATCTGTACTTTCAGTAACAAAATTCTGCGAGGGAGTTTCTTCTAGGCCAGGCATCGAAATTGGCACCTCATAAGAAGTTGATACGTTTTGCTCTTCGTAACTGGAGGTTGGTACAGAATCCACGTGAGTTGAAGTAATATCTGGATTTAAATTATAGGAAGATGTAGGTATTTCAGGTACTCCATTGTCATGGATACTTGTATGTTCTGCACTGGATGATGCGATATTCAATTCTGCGCAAGGTGGTATTTCACAAGATGATGTACTTATTGCACTTTCTTGATCAGGATCTCTTTCCTGATTCTCAGGAGTTTCGGGAACGTAAGACGAACTTGCAGTCTCGTCTTCGTTAAGCCCAGTGTTATTTGTAGAAAATGAGGAAGTACCAATACCGTCGGTACCAATATCATTAGACTGAGACGGCATGTTTCCCTCTTGACTAATTTCAGCGTCTGTTTCTAGATTCTCTGGAACGTTATCTGGTTTACCGACTTCGTAACTCTGTGTTGGGAACGTTTGATCGTCGATCGTTTCATCGACAGTTGTACTTTCTTCTTGGCTTTGCATAAGTTCATTGAACGACTGCGTAGGCGCGTTTATATTTGCTTCCGCGGAAGAAGTTTCATACGATTGTGAAGCTTCGTTCACCTTTGAATGTTCAAACGACTGACTCGGAGGTTCCGTTACAATTGATTCTTCGTCTGTCTCCATAGGTTCATAAGTTATTGACTGCGAAGGTTCTCGCGAATTTTCAGATTTCGTAGCAGACTGACTAGGTAAATCAGTGGAATCGGTAGTTACTGCTATCTCAAACTGCTCGTACGATTGAGATGGTGTTTCATGACTAGTCTCTGCGTTAGTTTCTTCAAAATGTAACTCCAGATTTCTTTGAACTAAATCTGATTCTCCCTGAGACGATGGTTCGTCCCTTTGACAGTCTTCCGATTCCTTCATTGAACTCGCCGCACACTCTTTAGACTCAGGAGCTTCGTCTACATCCATACTCTGTTCGTCTACCCGGTTTAATGATTCTGCAGGCAAACTTTCTACTACTTCTTGAGTAACTTCTACCTCGTTAGACGTGGCTGTTTGTTCTTCAGATACGGGAGAATGGACTTTGCTGCTGGATTGTTCGCCAAAACTTAATTGTTCAAGCTTCTTTATACTATCTGATTCTTGTAAAGTATTTGTATTTATTTCATTGGAATCAGAAACATCAAAGCTTGCATGTTCTACAGATGACATCTTTACATCAGATTCAGATGTAATTAAAGAACTATCACCAACTATTGATAAATTGCTCGTCATTGTGTCATCTGGTTGCTCCGCCATTTCCACCTCTACTGTGTTATCATTATTACTAACTTCTTCAGTTTGATTATCCATTTTCACATTTGAACCACTATCTTCTTTAACAGCCGTGTTTTTCGAAACGATATCTTCTTCTGATTTAATGGAAACTTCTTCAAAGGAGTGCACTTCTTGCAAAGACATCGTTGTATCTTGCTCTTCACTTAAGATGGAGGGTTCATTTGTTGATACAATAGTTTCTTCAGAAGATACATGAGATACCATCATGTCTGATGTTACAGTTGTATCTTGCGATTTTATACTTTCTGTAGAAACAGCAGGTTTTGAAGCAAGCATGTCAGAAACAGATACATCTACAAAAGTTTGTTCTGATGTTATCGATGATTCTATAGTCGAAGTAAATTGCACATTTTCAGCATAAGTATCATCTATTATTGGCATCGAAGGAGTGGTCTGAACTTGTGAAGTTTGTAATTCTATACTATTTGGTATTGAAACCGAATAAGACACGCTAGGCATTGAAACAGCATTGCTTTGTACGGTCTGCGTTTCTATAGCGATGTTATCTTCCAAATTAGGTAATACTAGATACTGTGTGCTAGCAGGAATTTCTATTTGAGAAATTTCAGCTGTACTTGGATTTTCTATTATTTCTCCAATATCTGGCATAGAATTACCAGGAATCTGAATTTGTGCTTCACCAGTTGTGATGTACGAAATATTTGGATTGGTGATTGTTATCGGTAATTCAAGAGAAGATGGTATACTTGCAACAGAAGTTGGAACTGGTTCTGATTGTACTGGCAAATTGCTAGGCACTTCTAAAGGCGTCATTATAGGTTGATTTAAA